GGTTGCTGGCGTCGTCGTCGTCGTCGTCTGCTGCTGCTGCTGCTGCTGCTGGCACACTTATTGCGCAAAAAAGCGCGCTCCACGAAGCATGGCCAGAGCTGGTCGCGAATTCGAACTGCCACTGGGACAGTCACTGACTGGCCCTCGTTGCCGATCATCTCCTCGTCGTCGTTGTCTTCGTCGTGGTCGTCGCGCCGGCGCATTGTTTTCATTTTATGGAGATTAACATTTTGCGTCTGCCAACGCCGTCGCCGCCGACGCCGCCGCCTTCGACTGATATCAGCATCTGACAAGCATCCAAGCATCCGCTGTCGCTGCAATAACTTGGCTGCAGTTGGCTAAATACCCTAACCAAGAGGGTATGACACGTTGCTCAGGCGCTTTTCAAGCTTTTATTAATGCTATGCAACCAAACTTGAACTAAATCTTGGCGCCTCATGGTCTTATTATTTCAGACAATTGTTAGAATGTGGTAAACGACCTTTTTTATATGAATATACAAGTTTTATTTTGACTATATATATTGACTTTTATAACATTATAGAATAGTCCTTTCTAGACATTAGAAAATAAATAGAAAATAGTTTTGTCCAAATAAAAGTCAATATATAGCCTAAGATGCAGTCCATATCAAAGTCAATATGCAGCTTAATATACTGTACATCCCTGGCCAGATATTAGAGAATATATAATCCGAAATTTGTCCAAATTATAATGAAAAATATAATATGAATAGATATATATATGTATATTTATATTATGCATATGCATTTCTAAGGAAAGGGCATTCAGAGTGCAGTTTCTTCTCACCTTTACGCCTCACATTTTATTGTTGTTCGGGCTCCCTTACAGATTTAACTTGTCTTTCATTTCGGCAAGTCACGACCCGCGTAATGAGCTGACTGCAGCTCTGCAGCTTCACGGACTGGGACTGCGGCTGGGGCTGGGGCTTATGATCTTCTCTTTGTCTTCTGTTGCAAAAGGAAGTCGTCGCATTGCCTGACTGCCTAACTGACTGACTGCCCGACCAAACAGACAAAAAAGCAACAACAACAACAGCAAAAAAATGTTAATTTTTTCCCATTGAGCAATGCACCGATAATTAACCTCGTTGGTGTTACGGCGGCTGACCGGCATGAAAATTGATCGGGCTGCTGAAAATTGAATTTCAATTTATGAATACGACCGCGACACGCCTGCAAAGTGCTTAAAAAACATGTATGTATATATATGCGACTATGGTTGGAACTAATCATTTTGGACATGGCTCAAAGGCTAGAGAGAAAGAGCGTAAGGAAATGGAGAAGAGTACGAGCTATGTACGGGGCGGAAAAGCTGTTATGCAATTGGGTGGATTGGTCAGATAAATGTAAAGATTTTTGTAATATAGTACAGTATGCAGAACATGATATATAGTACATATATATATGTCTATAGTATATAGTAGTATTTATAGAGTTATCTGTTAAGAAGAAAAGGCGCTCGAAACTGTGAAGAAGTGGGGAGTATACGGCTAGGCAATGATCTGGGCCCTCTACCAAGTGCTGAAAAGTGGAGTTTGCTTGAATTCCTTAGCTTACATTTCATTTTTCTCTTTGCAAAAAACTAAGGCCTTTATATATTTTCTGTTTAAATCAGTTTTCTCTCCTCAATCTTAGCTCGCCTATTATTTCATTTTGAAGCCAATTTTCTTTTCACTGGAATTTCACTTGGTTGAAAATTGACTTGTGGCTATTGTAGGCGCATTTCTTTTTTACGAGTCTAAGCCTTTAACTTTTGGCCACAATTTTTTGAGGCAATCAAATTTTTCACGCTCTCAGCGCAGCCTTCGGCATTTCTTTGTCGCTGTCCACGGGCAACATTTGACTTTTTGGCTTTTCGACTTAAAAATAAATAAGAAATAAAAAAATAAGAGAGAACTCTTAAAATCAAGGCTGCATTTTTTAAGCCTTTCAAATGAAAGAAAATGCTCGTAAAAAACTGAAAATTAGAAAAAACCGTTTAACCCGTGCTAATCAAAGCGAATTCCGGGAAACATAGTTCCAGAATTCTGCTTAACCCGTTGCTAAAAAATCGTTTCGCTAAAGAAAACCTAGCCAAAAAGATCGAGCAAAAAGCAGCTCGGTTCTGCGAAGTCCATAAAAAAGTTCCATTCTTCCATTAATATTTACGATACAGACAACTCTCGACCTGAACTCTGGCAGAAAGAGTTGAGAGCAGAGCAAAAAGGCTTAAAAAAAACGCTGCAAAAAAAGGACCTTCGCACTGCGAGCAGCCGGCAGCACAATGACGACAATTGCCACAAAAGGTGGCAATTGTGCCGTGTGCAACCCGTAAAAAATGCGACCGCAACAAAAGGGCTGCAGGGGAAAGGCTTGGGCAAGGACAACGCGCGGGTTAAAAAAGTAAAAAGCGGAAAAAAACGAAAGTCAACTCTTCGCTGAACAATTGCACATTATTAGCCAGGACCAAGAATGAGGCAGGCGCAGTCGCAGTCGCAGTCGCAGCTAGTTTGTGGCATGTGGCAGCAAACGTCATAAAAGTCGCGAGCGTGTTTGCCAAGGTTGCGAAAGGATGTGCTCGGCGGCTTAATCCTTGCACGCCGCGTTTACCCGTATTCGCCGTGTGTGTTTGCCAATATTTTGATTTCGAAAATAAACAATACGCCCACCGAACCGGGTTCAGGTCACCGACAGTCGGACAGTCGGACAGTCGGAGTTCAGTGAAGGGCTTGGCTGGAACTGTTTCCTGAGCCTGAGTACTGGTCCTGGGCAAGGATTAGCCGCGTTTAACCATGACGATTTCGTGGGAAACGGGGCGTACTCTGTTTGCTGCATTTAGCAAAGGATTACGGCCCATTTCGACCATAATTAGTGACAACAAGTTGTAAAGCCATTTCGTAGCCAGTTTTCCCAAAAATCCGCTCAACAGCAGTCCGACAGTCAAGATGCCAAATCAAAAGTTAAATGAAATATATGTCAGCGGCATTATCATTATCGTACATGTCCATTCCGCTGCTCCCGCCAAGGTCAGTTCTATGTAAATTGCTGCACCAATTTTTTGCTACAATTTTTCCCGAAACGGGGAAAAAAAAAATCAAAGAAAATGACATAAAACTGGCAAGTCGGAAAGGGTTCAGAAAAACGCGCACAATGTCCCAGCACGCAGCGCTCTCCTTTTTTAACGATGCCGCTTTGTGCGTTTTTTTGTGTGTCCGACCGATCGACTGGTCTAGTTCGGGTGTTCTGTATACCCTTTATTCCCGGAACCACTGGGATTTGTTCCATTCTTTGTTTTTTTTTTCCATTCGCTGCGCCTTGGTTTGAGGCAACTTTTTGCCGAGTCGCGTACGCGGAATTCTTTAGACACAATTTTCACTTTAAGGCACGCAATTTCGAGTGCGGCTTTTATGTTATTTACTGTTTAACATTTTAATTGTAGCAGCCTCGCAAGGCCTCTTTATGGCTCTTCAAGGCGAGAGAGTGAGAGAGAGACAGAGAGAGGGAGAGAGGGAGGGCAGCTGTTGCCTGAAATTTTGTGGAAGCGAAAGTGTTGACGTTGTTGGTCGGATGGGTTAGACACGGAATTGGCCTCATCCATACTGAGTTAAGTACAATTTTTCGACACGGCCTGCTGTCTTTTGTCAAGGCTGGCGAGTTGTCATTAGCTAAGGTTCAAATTGCTCATTAGGCGCGGCCTAAAAGACAAAAACGGCGAAGTGAGAGTGAAAGTTACAGTTTGAACAGCACTGATCATAGTTCATATATGATATGTGTGCATATTTGTATTCATATTATATATGTCCATATCTTAAGCTAGAACAGTTGCCCCAAGGCTCGAATGTATACCCTCATTTAAGTTTTTTGTGCTTGAAACGAAAAACAATGTATAAATTGGAAATTTCTAGATGGCAATAAATCCAAATATCCAAGCTTAACAGCTATATTATATAGTTTTCAGATCCCAAATCATATGACAATTATGTATGTTAGAAATTAGTCAAACTGAAGCACGGTTCAATTTGAAAGTATGTATTTGTATAATCTGCAAATAAGTTACTTGAAAATTGCATATTCTAGCATATTTGTATGTATGTATCTTGTTTTCAGACTGTTTAGAGTACATATGTTAAGCCCTAACTGAAATAATATTATAGCCAAAATTTATGGCCAATACTTCTAATCAAAAAGAAAATAATAGATGTCTAGGAAGTGTTGAACTATGTTATGCTAAAGGGTGGAATAGACAAATCAGATTTCTATAAACTGCAGACAACGCCTGGAAGATGTTTTTCTTTATCATACAGATGTCTCTATCTAATTAACAGAATTTGTAGAGCAGACATGATTTTTAGCAAGATATATAACCAAGTTATGTCAAAGGATGTTAATCCCCATTTAGATTGAATCCAACCCAAAGAGAGCAATATCTTAAGGAAAAAAGTCTAGAAGATATACAAAAGACACGCGAGTTCCTTTCTGCCACAGGCCACACTTAAATGCAGCCCACAATTTACATAAAAACACAAGAGAAATAGAGAAAAAAAAGAAAACCCTGCGCCGCAGTAAACCACAATAACTAGAACAATAATTAGCTAAAAATTGGGTCGACTGCGTTGTAAACAATGAATTGGCAAACAAGTTGCGAAAACCACAAAAAAAGAACAGCAGAGGCAGAGGAAAAAAAAAAATAAAGCATCGAACAATATAAAAAATCAACGGGAGAACAAAAAGATTTGGCTCAGATTCGGGTCGACGGTCAATGGAAAGAACTGGATATGCGGCTGGCCGCAGCGAAGTGCGACAATTTTTGCACGTGGACTGCACTCATAAAAAATAATTAGACCAAAAAATGCGAACACTTAGGGGAATATTTGGGCAAAAATGCTAAAGAGATCTGTGGAAATTGGCAAACGGCCGGCGACCTGCGAAATTCAAGCTAAAAATCTGCACGCAGGTCGAAAGAGGATTAAATTTTTTTTTGTTTGTTTATTTGTTTGTGTTTGTTGCATTTCTTCTATTTTTTGTTTGTCACGTGCTGCGCGCTGTGCCTGTGTGCCGTTGTCCTGGCTGGGTCCTTGGAATACGCTGGTAAATTAGGCAAAATTATGTCATGCCGCGAGGCGATTCTGGAACGAGATCAGAACATTGAGAGCGCGTTTTCATTCTTGTCTGTCGTTCGGGTCGAGCGAGAAAAAATATATTTATGATGCCCGCTCATAAAAGATATTTTCTGCCCACTTACGTAAGAATTTTGCGTGTCCTTTTTATGTGTAGATTACCTTGAGAGTTTACGCAAAAATCGCCTGGCCGTATATGTTCTGAAATAGTTTTAGCTGACTTTTTTTGTTTGGCTTTATTTGGGCTCATTAGAGCACATGGATTTTTGCAGCCTCACCTTATTGCTCGGCCCAAGGACACACGGCGCGCTGTAATTAAAAGTTTTTAATAATAACACAACTGAGCCTCATTAATTACAGTCAGAGCCGCGAGTCTGGAGTCTGGGGTCTGGACTTCTGTCTCTACCCCAGCGCGTCCAGTTGCCGGGCTCTGAGTTGCAGCCAAATCGTTTTGCACAGACTCGTAAACAACATTATCAAGCGACCCGTCCAAATGCGATTAAGTTGGCAACATTAACTGGCGACAGCTAACCAAGAGCCAAACGGACGTCAACCAGTTCCCCCACGACTTTCAGTTGCAATTAATCAAAGCAGCTCCCGCGGCTCCGTATGGACCCAAAGAAGTTGATAATCGATATAATGCCACTAAAGATTTCTTATCAACGAAATCGTCGTTTCTACTTAAAGTCGTACATTAAATTGATGATAATGGTCAGGCACAAAAGTTATGCTTAAATGTGAATAAATTGATTTGTGTTCATTCTGACCTTAGCGACGGTTTCTTGATGTTATAATTAAAGGGCTTCACTTCTTAACAATCTGTTACAAATACTTTTCATTTAACATAATTTCAACTTTACATATTCTATGATAATTGTTTATGCTGTTATCGGTAAGGCTAACATTGTCTGTTAAAAATCTGTTACGTCATGTAACATAATTTAAACCGTACATGATCTGAACATTGTCTGTTACAGCTGTTAATTAAAAGGCTTTATTTCTCAAGAATCTGTTACAAACATTGTTTATTCAACATAATTTAAACTTTACATTATCTATGATAATCATTGATGCTGTTATCAGTAAGACTTAACATTGTCTATTACAGCTGTTAATTAAAAGGCATTATTTCTCAAGAATCTGTTACATTGTTCATTCAACATAATTTAAACTTCACATTATCTATGATAATTATTTATGCTGTCAGCGGTAAGACTTAACATTGTCTGTTATAGCTGTCTGTGTGCGTCAAGGTTGTCAGACACGAAAGTTTTTCATATAATTTTCAATACTAGCCGCCCTTCGAAATGTAAACAGATTTCCCAAAATTGGAATTGTAATTCCAACTTTTTGCGCTGTATTTATTTTCGCTTGCTCCACTTTTGAATGTCTTGGACAGTTTTGAAACTGCAAATGAGTTAAGTTCCCAGGCACTGTATTTCTTTACATAGCATAATTATCACAGTTTTTTTTTCATTGTCGGTGAATCTGTAAACCAGAAGCAGCTGCACAAAGTGGTCCACTTTCGACGGGGCCTAAACCAAAACGTAACCAACAATTGTCGCCAATTAACATGGATGTTTCACTCTTATTAGTTAGCCCGAATTCGACTTGGAGTCGGAGTCGGCCTGTTATTAAGCGTAGAGGGGCCTGTTGCCTGTTTGGTGCATTGAAAGGGCGCATTAATCAGCCGGACAAATCGAGTTGCAGTTGCGTGAAACGAGTAGCTCATTGATTACGCAAAGTATATGTAAATTATATTTTTGTGTTGTCAATTCTGCTGCGATAACGATATGACTATATAGGCGACGATGTGCGGCAGCTCCGATTCCAAGGTTTCCAATGCAAACACACTCGTCGAAATCGTCGAATCATTTATTATTGTTTTTAATGGCATGACACACACTCACACATACACACACACATGCAAGGAGCTAATGACAAGCGACAAGTCAGCGATTCCACAGGTGGAGAGAATCCGCGTCATCGCTTGTGGATTTGACTGCGGGCCCGTTCTCTGACACGCTTCTGGCCAATGTCAGTTGCATGTTTGGCGCTGTGTTTTGGATGAAACCGATACGCGACGCCCTCGTGTGCACTCAGACGCGCCCCATTTCTTATCGCATGCTCGCACTTATACAACAGAAATCAAATCGGAAAACAAAATAAAGAACAAAATAAAGTTCTGAAAATGCACATTGCAGCACGTACTCAGCCGGGCGACCACCTCAAGTGCAAACTGTCACCGAAACGGGCTTAAACCAGCTTTTATATAACTGGAAAACGAAACCACCTGTACGTAATAGACTTTATTTTGGCTACAAATTTGCAGTTTGCCAATAGCTAAACCTATGACCCTATCATTTGAGCAACTGGATAAGAAAGATGGGAGTGCAAATTCCCAGGCCAGAGATGGATGCAAGTGGACCATAACTGGTTGTAGCTTAGCCTTGCGATGGCCTATTAATATTTTAATAATAATTATAATCTAGGAATATCTATAAGAAAGCGCCAGTTGGCTTTACATTCGTCTAAGATATATATATTGCCTTATCGAAAACTATAATGTTGGGGAGTACACAAAGAGCAAGAAAATTGTTAATGTGAATCCCCAGGCTAGTGAATGGCTTTAGGTGGGCCATAGTAGCTAGTCCTATCTAATCTAGGAATATATATATATTTCCGTACCGATAGTTATTATTGATGAGCCTTTTCTCAGAAGCTAGCTCTACTTATAAAGTTTGTTTAACTTTTTGTAAATACAGTCTATGCCTAATACAACTGATTCAATTTAGAAATAGCAACAGGAACAGGACAATCCTTCTGGACTAGATAATCCTTCGTCCTAGATCTATCATTCCGACCAGCTTACAATATTTCATAGAGTTTTTTCGTTCTACTATATTATATCATATTTTCCTAATTATAAATTCATCAATTTACCCCACCTTGGGGCTCTTCCTTCAACATTAGTGCTCCGTTCAGACCTCGTGGCGAGGCACACTCCAAAATTGATTCCTCTTGAGCACATGTGCCTTCTTCCAGCTCCAAGTAGACCAAATACTCCAGACCCAAAAAACATAGTCAAGTTGCACAACAATTTGCTGAACTTAGAAACAGCCTAATAACGGGGCAATTATAGCCTCTATGCCAAAAATATAAAAACCACTGAAAATAAAAATAAGAAAAAGGAAAAAAATATGCAACAATTAGGGCCTAATTTCTGGTCTGGCCTTGAGCGTAGCCGAGTTGGGCTGCGCTGCTGCAATGCATTAGATATGCCCAGGAAGCGAATTCAAAGGAAATCGAGCACAGTTCCCGATCCAATTTTCACTGTGAGGCGAGTGCTAAAAAGGGTTTCACCGCGCGGCAGCTGTTTGCAGTCCATAATTGAAGCATTCCGTAGGTAATTGGTGGCGATTTTTTATGCCGAACGCATAAATTAACACCAGGCTGAGAGCCCAGCTTGGAAGATGGCTCCTCAACAGATTTGTGTAATTGCGGAATGAGTCAAGAGACTGAAATTTGTTTTTGGCGATTTTTTTTTTTCGGGCTGGCATTGTAATCGGAGTCTTTGAGCCCTTTAATACTTATGTCCTAAGCCAGCCAAGAGCTCTGATTATAAGGTTTGGACGGCAGGCAATTTAATTTTGGGGTCAGAAGTGCCGCGTTTATATGTTAATTTTGTGCCGACTTTTTGGCAGCGTTTTGTACCTCATTAGAGCGGCGAAAGCGCGTTTACAAGTGTTAAATTGGCCAAATTACGGGTTGTTAACAGGATATAAAAGTAAAAGTGTCGGCTGCAGGAATCGGGCCAAACAGAATGCAACAGATTGCAACAGCCCAGACTTGCAGCAGGTGCCACAAATGCCTCTTCCCTTACCTCTCCAAAAAAAAAAAAAAAAAAAAAAAATGGCAGTCAATTCAATTTGGTAAAAGAAAACAAAAAAAAAAAAACTAAAATACCATGGAAGATATAAAGCAAATGTGTTGGCTCTCATGATGATGATGATGATGATATTAAATGCTCCGTATTGATGTTCAAATTAATGGTTTCATTAGAAAACCGATCAAGAATTTAATTGGTTCCTCTCCATGGCATGCGATCTGTATTTAAATAGTCCATCTAAAACTGTTTATGTGTACTTATTTATAGGTAAACGATTTTCTATGATAAGTTTTCCTAAAATAAAATCTCGAAAGAGTCCAGAAATACATATGGCTGTAGCTATTTTCAGGTCGTTTTCAATGTGAAATAATTCTCATTAAATTGTTATTGGGCGAAATTATGTTTGTCTTAAAGTTAGCATCGATTTTTTGGCTAGCCTATCGATAATTCACCAATTAAACTGGACTGATAAATATGCTTACCTTACAAAAGCCTGAGATCGCCTCAATGTTGGCCACGCTATTTGAGCTTGTCTATCGATAACGTTATCGATAATACGCAGAATTCATAAGATTGCCTGCGCTAGAGCTAAGCAAGATAATCGATAACTTTATCGATTCAGTAAAATCAGCGTTTAAACTAAATATTTAACTGATAAATGTGATAAGATGGCCAGAGCTTAGTCTAAAAGATGTCTGTACTATTACAGCCGATTACATTATCGATATTTGAGCAAGTAAATCGATAACATTATCGATATAGTAGAACATTTCAATTTAACTAATAGAGTAGAATCCATGCAAGATATGGGTAGATATTAAAGGAAAATACATTAAAAATCGTATAATTATAAAAAAATACTTCCATTTGATTAAAGTGCTTAACAGGATGCAAAAGTAAAAGTGTCATCGAGTCCAGAATGACAGGTGGCATCAGCAGTGCCCCGCATGGCCAGTGGCCAATTGAATTTGTATCTGACAGTGGATAAGGAGGGCGGGTAGGGGACACCAACGAACAGATCGTCAAGACTTTTGTTTACTCAACTCGAGGAGTGATTTATGCATAAATGCAAATGCAAATGCAACTTCAAATGCTAATTGCGGCGACGGTCAAAGACACGATCACGACTCCAGAGACTCGCAAACACCCCAGCCAAGAAGACAGTTCATCACAAATCAATGCTAGCGACCAGCATGTGCAGCACCACAAACAGAAACAGAGGCAGCCATCGACTGAGAATGACGACTAGTACATGGTAGCCGTGGCACATGGCAGCGACTCATTCATATGCAAATCTTGTGGTGGCCACAAATGAAATGCCAACACGCAGAAATGCAAAGAGAGCATCGAATTGCAAATTATGGCAGAGTGGACGGGCTGCTCAGGTACCCGGTGGTGGTCGGTGGTGCCCGGTGGTGCCCGGTGGTGCCCGCTGTTGACGGTTGACAATGCTGCGCCTGAATAATTCTCTTGTTAGATACATAGTTGAGAGCTCGCGTGGCCGCGGGCTCCAACCTCCGTTTGCGGCCAAGTGTCTGCCGCGATGCGTGACTTTTTATCTACAAAGCGTGGCCAGCGGAGCACAGTTCCAAGCAGCGTTCGTGAAGCTTTGCAATGCTAACTAATGCCCGCCACATTTGGCCGGCCTTCCAGGAATCTCAGTCGCTGACTCTGGGTGACAAACTCGTCGCTCCATTAGCATAACACACAGACAGACACAGGCATGACGAGCACAACGATGCTCGGTCCTCGGCGGATGTACGCTTGATTATGTTGTTTGCTCGGCTGCCTGGGATTGGGATTGTGGAATTGCGACTGCCACTGCCACTGCCACTGGCACTGCGGAGGCTGTGCATGACATTAATCACTTTTCTGTTTAAGTTTTAAGCAAATAAGCAAACAGCGCGCGCGTCTGACGCCAGTGGACGACGGCCTGGTCCGGCCTGGTCTGTCGGCT